GCTATAAAATATGAAGCATACTCTAGTCTAAATTCAATAAAGAAAATAGAATTTATCAGACTTGGTGACTAATTATTGGAGCAAGAGACACAATAATAAGAGTGAATTCCCAGAATTTTGGCTTGGGCACTTGGGTGTATGATGGTGCCATTTACTATGCCAGGAAATAGATACGTTTTTGGCCTGAGTTTTAGAGAACCCATTTTAAGGAGCAGAGACAATTTTGTGTGAGGTACTAGACATTATACATAAAAATGAAATTGGGGAGGCCTACCAAATTGGAGTCAGAAGATATTATAGTAGTGGAAAGCAATGCAAGATTGAGAATGGGGTAACCAGATCAATTGGCAGCAGATCAAGACAGATTAAAATGAAAAAGATTTATAATCGGGGAGAGGAAAACAGATGAGAGACAGTCTAGGGCAGAGGGCAAACTGGGTAACAAGAATCAAAATGACTGAAAGCAAGTAGAAGATGAAAGGATTGCAAGTGGACTGCTATGATCAGAGGAGCCCTGGTGGCACAGTGGTTAAAGTGCTCGGCTGCTAACCAGGAAAGTGTGGCAATCTGCTTCAGTAAAGATTTCCAGGGTTTGAAACTCCAAGGGGGGAGTTTTACTCTGTCCTATAGGGTCACTGTGAGTCAGACTCCACAGCAATAGACTTTATTTTTTAGGGTTTATTATTATTATTATTATTTTTTACTATGATCAGGGAGGTGGTGGTGATGAAGGTAGTTTCTTTCAGCAGCAGAATTTGAATAGAAGGGGAGAAAGTCTGAAGCAAGAGGAAACTGGTCCTGGGAACAAATGAATCATCTTCTTGTAATTGCTACACCCTGGTTGGCATGATTATGCATAAACAAATACAAATGTCTTCTGATGGCAGTGATCTAGGCTTGGAAAGTACAGTGCTCATGCTAGCTTGCCAAAGTGATCTAAATTAAAGGATCCTTTTCTCTAGACTGGATATGTTTAGCAACAGTACCGTATTCTTACACAGTTTTCTGAAGGTTGTAGAAAGACTTGTGACGAAGTCAGAAATCCCAGTGTGGATTTCTTGCTTTTCTTTAGGCTGGCTACACTGCACATGTAAGGCTGAGTCTTAATTTTTCTTTGAGCTTCGGTTGTTGTAAAAAGGCAATAACATGTTTTTTTAGTTTGTTTGTTTGTTTTGTTTTCTAAGTGGTGAAGGCACATTTAGGTTTATACAGGAACAGCTTTCATTGATTTGGAAGAGGTTATCCTTTTTCCTAAGATGACTGCTTAATTGTTATTTGAAAGTTTCCTGGAGTCCTAATACAATTTTATTATATGAGGTATAAAGGTTTAATATATTAGGCTGTAACTTACGGTGAGATTATATTATGCTTTTTAAATATATATATATATATACACACACACACATACACAGAAAAATATATACGTTCTATGCTGATTAATTGCTATGCAACAGAATGTCATAAGGTCCAGTGTATTTGAGCTCTATTCTTCTGTGGAGAGATGCTATATAAATCTGTTAGTGAAAATTTCACTCATCCCAGATATGATGAATGATACACTCGTTTTCTTTTTTGACAGGACTATACTTAGACGCGCGCGTACACACACACACACATACCCACATGGGCACAATCTTGAGCCTAAGGAAGACTAGGAGGGTGTTCTGGAACCAACAGCAATTGGAGTTTATGGAGTACTTCCTATGGGCCAGACACTTTACACAATTTATGCCCAAAATGCACAACAACCAGCATCACAGGCATGAGAAAATGGAGGTTCAGAAGTGTTAGGTAACTTGCCTAGGGTCCTAAAGCAAACACAGCACTGTTAATTTAATAGTAGTTATCAGGGTGTGTCTGACACCAGAGTCCTTGCTCATTCTACTATACCACTCTGTGACTAAAACTAAATTGGGGGACTAGAGCCTTTAGAGGATTTCTCTTCCTCTTTCCCCTCTGACAACTTCTTTTTGTTTCTTTTGTGTTCTGATGTTTGCACTCCAGGTGTCAAGTGCCAGCTCCCACTAAAAAACAATTTCCTGGAAGGGGCTGGGGCTGCCTCAAGATGGATGGTACTTTCCTTCCTTTTACCTTGAAGCTCTTTATGAATTGCAAGACGATCTCTTGGCTGTGCTCTGGCTTGACATTTCCCCCTATTTATTATTATTACTGTTATCTCAGGGGGGTAGAAGGCTAGGGTTTGGCATCTTGTGGGAACACTGTTAGGAGCTGCACAGTAGATGCCCAAAAAGTTAAGGTGAGAGAGGTGTGTGTGTGTGTGTGTGTGTGTGTGTGTGTGTGACTCTTCTCTCACCCAGACACACTGGCGGGATTAGCGCGAGTCCTGCGAGACAAACACTCCTCTGCTCTCACGTACCGCCTGGTCCGAGTGACGGGAACATTCCCCTACCTCCCGGAGAGGAAGGAAGGGCGCCTGGGTCCTGAGGCTCGGGGATCCCCCATCAGGGGCGGTAGAGACCGAGGGGCTCCCGTCTCCTGGGAGGGGTCGCGATCAGATCCGGGAGCGCGGACTGCTGGAGGAGCGCC